AAGCATAATATTTAGTTAATTTTGTTCCACAAAAGATACCAATGCTTGTAGCGCGTAAGAAATTCTAATTGGTTTTCATCTCTTACGCCAATCCCGTAAAAAAAAAGTGTCGTAAAAAATGAAAGTGAATGTTTCTGATTAAAAGGTCTTGCAGATTCAAGTACTTCATTTTAATTTTGGGATTTCACTCAAACCAAATTTGCAGATATTCGTAGAATGGTGCTGTCAAAGACCCAAAATAGCATTTTATACTCAGTAATCTCAGCGGTTGATAAATGTAATGCACCCCGAGGTTGAAATCGAAAAAAAAAAAAAAAAACTATAGAACTATATAAACGATATAAAGTTGTTAAAAAATGAACGATAGCAGTTCATTTTGATTAAAAAAAATCTCAGCAACAAAATTTCAAATCATCTAATAATTTGATGGGGCGTGATTTCGTAATACATTTTCCTTTAAAACATGTTTTATTTATAAGAGAAGCAAACAGAGTGAGTACAGAACAAAAAGCCAGGAAATTTAATTTCCACAAAATTAAATTCATTGTTCAAAAATTCAAATTTTATTCTAACGACCAAAGAAAGCGATTTTTCATTGCCAAGCAAATTTATTAATGTAATCGCTAACTACATTCCTGTATAACTTCATATGAACACAATGTCTGACATAGCAATTATGTCTAATGTCAGTTAAAAAATGGCGGTTCCTCACTAAATCAAAATTTTCTCTGCTTGTTAAAAATGGTTCGGAAACAGAATCAAATTTTACTACAATGTCTTCTTTTGTTAACGGATCGTAACTGGTGTTCAGAAATAGTCATGTAAATGAGTTTGGTGTTTGAAAAACTTGCACTGTGGATGTGACTCATTAATTCGAGGAAGAAGATTTTTAGCGGAACTCATTTTCGATTGAGATCAGCTTATTTTGCCAAAAAAAAAAAAAAGTAAAAATAATGCGTAAAAAATAATATCTTCAAGAATATGAATTTGTGTTTATATTTACATCTCGAAGCAAAGACATTTTTTCGCCATCATAGACGAATATGTTTTGTAATAACAAGTGGTTTAGATGATGAATAAATAACATAGAAAAAGCTTCGTGTAATTTCTCCCGGATCTTTTTCATTTCGGCTGCTCCATTAGTGATTGTGAAGGAAATGGAAAATACGACACGGAAATCCAAACGTGCGTTGTTATAGCAAAAGATTCCTTCCAAAAGCTAAGCAGTGTATTAAGAAACAACAAAACTTCATTAGAAACAAATAAAAAAGTACTGAAATTGTTATAGTGGAACAAACCTATTCTATAGTTAATAGTCTCTCCCACCTATAATAAGTAGGAGTAGTAAGAGTAACGAGTCGGTGAGTGAGTCAGTCGATGCTGGACGACCGTTAGTCGGATACTAAAGTATCAGCGACCACAACTAGACAAGTTCCTAACGTTTTGTGCGTCGAACCTATTTTAGGACCGACTTAGTACAAATACAAGCCTCCACTGCGAAATAACTCCACAACAGAAATACAATGTGATATCAATACTTTTGTATGGCAGTGAATGCTGAAAAATGCAGAGGAAGAGAAATGGCAGTAGAAATGTGGTTCTACAGTAGGATGTTGAGAATTCCATGGACGGAACGAGTAAACAACTGGAGACTTCTTAAATGATAATATAAAGTAAGTTTATTTTCAGAACTAGAAAGAGATCGCTGACATTGCCTGAACACAAAATGAGGAAAGGAAGGCTGGGAAAACATGACATTCACAAGGCATATCGAAATCAAGAATTTTTATGCTCCAAAATCTATTCGACTCTCAAGCGATGTCCTGGTATCTTTTTCATATCCTTTTGCTTGCTTGGATAGCAACGTTTTCTTTTTCAAAAATTTATTAAGTGAGACCCTCATTTTGCCGCCTTGATTACTAAGTCAAACCGTTTTTCTCAAGAGAAACGACGTTTGTACAAGGACTTGCATTTTATATACTATTTTATACTTTTTTAATCATTTCACCCAACCAAGGCGGGAATGTCGCTATTACGCAGGGTGGGGGGCACAGGGAGTGAAGGTGAGAGAAAAAACTGAGTATATTGATGTTGCATTTAAGTTTTTGAAGATTGTATTTATCAGGGGAGCATGCAAACGGAAGGGGTGCCAATGGTAGGAACAGCGGGAAAAGAAACGGTTGGAGTAGAAGTGGGGGTTGCGTTTAGCTATTTTAACCGTAAACGCGTGGGACCGAGATGCCAATCTAATGGCATGCTTAAATTCACGTAGTTGTGGCACCAGGGGTAAAAGCTCGTCTTAGCAGTTGCCATGAAAATATTTGTAGAAAAGACAGAGGGAAGCCACGTAATATCAGTGAGAAAGTGATTGAAGTCGAGATGTCAGGTCAGGATCGATTACATTGCAGATCCTTCTTTGGATTTTGTCGACAATCTTTCGAGTAGGGGCACCAGACAAGATCTGGCTGAAGTATTCAATGCACAGACTAATGGTTGATTTAGAAATGTGCAAGATGGAAAACAAATTCTGGCACGACACACTGACCCGACTTTCCTTGCAATAGATGCAGCTATTGATTCGATGTATTCATTCCACTTTGACTTTCTTGCCTGCCATCAACCATGATTGGATTAAATCAAACAATAGTCCTATCATACCGTAATCCTGGAGCTTACGTAGAAGACCAGCGTGCCAAACCCTGTCAAACGCCTTCAAGATATCTAGAGCCACAACTCGAGCTTCGCCATTATTATCACGAGCTGGATATAGATATTCATTGATGGCCGTTAAAACATCAGCGGTAGACCTGACGAAACGGAAGCCATCTTGTTTGTCCTAGAGGAAGTCGCGAAAAATAAATACTTTTTTAAACATAACTTGAAGAAGATATTCCGTCGAAATAGTAATAATGATAATAAAAGTAATAGCAGCAACAGTGTGTATATATATATATATATATATATATATATATATATATATATATATATATATCCAAGTATATGATTGGTGTATACAGAATAAATTCCAATTTTTCTTTTCTCCTCAGTAATTTTATAATTTTAAACTTAATAGAGATTAAATTTAGATTTTAAAATTGGTAATTTTTTTACTTTTAATTTTAATATAAAATTTTATCATATAATTTAATACTTATTGGTTAAAATAAATTCTATTTTAGTATAACCCCAACTTTAAAGCTCTTAATAGCTATTATAACCTTACTTCGTTGTCAAGTTTTTTGAATTCTCTTATACTTGTGTTTTGATTGGTCATTCTAGCTTTTGTAAAAGCGTTTTCTCCTTACGAAGGATCGTTAATTAATTTGAAACTTTTAAAACCAATTATTTTACATTCAACATCATCATTTGATAAGACGCCGGAGGTGTTGAAACAAAATTGCTATTTTTGTAGTGATTTTATAACATGTTTATGTTATAATTTTTAAATAAATAA